AGTGGGTCTGGTCCCAGAGGTGGAGAAGAGCAAGAGTGGGGATGGGCATCAGCCTGCCTAAGTTAATGTCGGCCTGCTGTGGAAGAGGAAGTCAGTCGCACATTAAGGAAATGTTGCAGCTGGTACTAAATTGGGAGGTGTCACAGGCAGCAGTGAGGACAGGTATGATTTGTGGGGCCCTGTGTGGTCCAAAACAGGGGAGAACATTGCCAAGAGGGAGAACAGGGTTTTTGGGACCACCCAGGACATATCTGATTGAAGTACTTGTGACAGGACTCTGGGGACAGGGGGTCACTCAGCCCTGGAACAGAAGCTCCAGGCTTGGTTCCAGAAGTGGAGGAATCCTCCTCATCCAGGCATGGGGCTGTGAGCTCTCTACTCAGGAGAAGCTTGGAGGGTGCAGCATTGTCTCTCAGCAGTGTCTTTTAGGGTGGGGGCTGGACAAGAGGACTCAGAACCTGGGGGTAGACTCAGAAATTCAGGAACTGGTAAAGAAGGCGTATGGGAGAGATGGGGTGACGAACTGAGGAGAGAGGGGACTGCAAGATGGAAAGGATTGTCTTTTCCCTTAGTGCTCATAACACAGCTGGATTTGAGAACCCTGTGGGTCTAGGCCTGAGAGAGAAAGAGCACTGGAAGAGGGGTTAGGAAGAAGGGAGAGAGCTATGGAGTTGGCACTGCCCTTTTGTTGCCAGTTCCACAGGCAACAAGAGTGCAGAAGGAGTTTTCTTGCTCACTCCAGAGACAATGAGCCAAAGGAGAGGAGGGAGGGCCATAGGGAGCTTGATGGAAAGCCATGGTAAAAGTATGAGCTCCACATGAGCATGTGCAGGTTGGAGTCCTGACACTTCTGCTCCTTAGCAGTGACCTTAGTACAAAGTGCACAACTCCCTTGTGCCTCAGTTTCCTCATCTGTAAAGTGGAGGGTAGTGGTGCTAGAATTACCAACCTCCCTGGTCAGTTATTATCTCATAACACATGTGAGAGGGTTTAAAAACCCTAAGCATTATAGCAATGTCAGATGTTATGTTCTTATTACAAAATACTATCAACTATCCCTTCCCCCTTAAATCTCACAAATGACCCAGAGTGTGGGCAGATCATGGATTATTACCTGTTTTCAAATGGGGAAATGAAAGCTTACAGAAGTGAGGTGATTTGTCCAAGGTCACACAGCTAACAAATCATAGAGGTGATAAAGCCTCCTGAATTGGAGAGATCAGCTGTCTTTCTCCTCCATCAAACTGCTTGGTAAAAATAATCAGTGTAAGGGATTATTATTTAGTGTGGGATCAAAAGGAGATCAGAGCCAATGATAACGTGGAGAAAACCTATGGGAAAGTTGTGGCATGGCTCATTCATCCCGGTGATTGAGGGGAAAACAAACAAACAAACAAAAAACCACATAGCTGAGGCCATGAGGTTAGAGAGAGGGCCACAAAATACCAACATCCTTTATTCCATCTGCTAGCAGACCATGTCCCTCTGCTCCTACTGAGTGTATGTGTCTATGGCCAATATTAAGGGTATATATATGTCTCCAGCTATGTGGCAAACTGTGTCCTTTTTCATGTGACAGTACTTCTGCCTGCATGTCTCTGACACTTTGGGGAGATGTGCATGTATGTGTCTGTCTGATGCTATGGCAGTGTTTGTGGATGTGACGACCTCTCTGTATCTCTGTGTGACTTTGCCAAAGGTGGTGGTGGTTGGTGATGGGGTGGTAGAGCAGTGTGTGTGTGTGTGTGTGTGTGTGTGTGTGTGTGTGTCTGTACACCTTTAAGAAGTGGAATATCTCATTTGGTAGTGTGAGTGAGGCAGTGAGTCAGCTGAGGCTGAGGAAGGCGGGAGAAAGACTGCTAGGATACGAGAACAGGAAAAAGGAGAAGGAGAAAGTGAAGCCAGGAGCAAAGATCTACCCTTTCCTGTCTAGCTCTCTGCCCTAAATTTTCATGGAGTCTACCAAGAACACAGAAGCCTTGCAGAAGTTCACAGGGGCGATGGAAAGGGGCACTTTCTCACCTTCATCAAAGCCTTGGAGGGAGATGAATTAGCCTAGGAGGCAACTGTCTCTGTCTATGTCTCTTGGCCCACAGCTAGAGGACGTGTGAGGCTATCACCCTACCTGTTCTTCTTGTCACTTGACCCTTTGACCTTGCTGTTCTCTTTCCTCTCAAAGGCATGGCACCTGGCCAGGGCCAGGCAAGCTGGGCAGTACCACTAGGCCCTGAATGTTTATAGCCCCCACCCAACCTACTGTCCAGAACAACTCTGCTGAGGGTCAAGAAGTTTCTCTAGATTCAGCACTTTCCTAGGCAGGCCCATTATGCAGCTGCCTTGCCTCTCCTTTGGATGCCTGTCCTCAGCAGCGTAAAAGCCAGCTTTCTCTCCACTGCCACCCTGGGGTGCTAGAAAGGCATTGGGAGTTTTCTAATGCACCGTCCTTTGGAGGCCCTCCCACAGATGCTGTGCCCTGTTCCCAGCTCTTTCTTTTGTCATCAGACAGAAGCCTGCAGGTTCCCTCCTTGGGAGAAGACAGGAACCCCTAGACTCCATCTGCCTTGGCTCTGGCCAACTACCTCAGGTCATATAAGGTCAACAGTGTGGTGTGGCTTCTCCACCAGGAGTTCCCCTCCTCTCACCCATTGGCAGGAGCCAAAAGGTGAAAGTTAGGATACCAAATATTCTTCCTCTGCCTCTGGCCTTCCCCCTACACCAGCCAGTAGTAGGACTTTATGTTGCAGAGCAGGAAAAGAAGGAGGCATGGCTGGCTAAGGATGGAGACTGGAAGAGTAGAAGCCCTTCTTTCATCCCTTTTCCAGCCCAGGGCCCCATGACCCCTTCCTCCTCAGCCCTAAAATGCTCAAACCCAAATGAACAGAAACTGACCAGATGGGTTATCTGACTTCCATCTCTGAGGCCCCTTCTCTGGGGAGAGTCACAGAGTGGCACTATGAGTGTCACCCTGGGAAGGGTGGCAATGTGTGTGTGGGACAAGTAAAGTGGGAGATCCCCTTTTTTCTCCTGATTCCATTGTCACTGCTGCTGTCACCCAGGCAGCTATTCCGGTCGCAGCCCCCAATCCTTACCTTACAGCCTTTCGTGCAAGACCGGATTGAGTACTCTTCTGCCTGTAAGTATTTATGCAGCACGAGGTCAAACTCGTCATATTTTTCCTGAGCATGTCGGTCCAGCCGCTGGTAAGCCTCAATGCAGTTGCTACATGCCTCCCAAGCTCCGGAGCCCGGGCTGGCCACCCCCGCCAGCAGGTCTCCTAGCAGAGTGTCCAGGCTGCAGTCCAGGCTGTCGGGACGGTCCATGCCCAGCAGCAAGTCCCAGACTGTGTAGGTGTCGCAAAAGGAGAGAGTGAAGTTCCGAAAGTGGCCTTTGAGCAAGTGTTTTTTGGCTGAAGGGAACTCGGCTGGGGCACGGGAAGGGGAGTCAGGAGGCCATAGAGGGGGGACCGGGGTAGTCGGTTCGAAAAGTCTCTGCAAAGATTGCAATTTGGTGCAAGCTGCATCTAGCCCGGTGGGCTCTGGGACGCCACGGCAGACCCGACTGGGGCCGACGGCGGGGGCGGGCTTGGG